TCTTCATTTTAGATTACCTGAATAAACTCAGGTGACCTATTGCTATCTGTTTTTGTCTGTTGTGGTGCATTGTGTGTTTTAAACATTTAAACATTTTTAGCTTCTTCTCTGCAACCACTCAACCAATTTTGGAGTAAAGCATCTTTTGATCTTTGTGAAGGGGAACAAAAATTGTGAATTTCATGGTCCCTGCCTCCCTGGGGCCTCGGGGGGGGGGGGGGGTGGGGGTGGGGGGGGGAAGGGCATAACTACTAAAATCAATGCAATCTTTTAAAATCTTTTTCTTTACTTCTAGACATCAAGAAGTCACACTGTTGGTATGATTGTAATCAGCATTATCCTGTCTCTGATAAAAATCTTGAAATTCCATTGGTCAAGAAGAATACTGTATTTCACCATATTATGCTGTCTACCCACATCATACTGTTAATGTGCCCCCTCCAAGTGACCTACCCACATCAATATGCCCCATCAACATGCCATACTGCCCAAAACATTTTCAATGTGTTGTTTTCATTTGAACAAATGAGGAACCTAATAACTGACGTCACAAAAGCATAAAATGAGTCACAATGAAAACAGTTATTACAGAACGGTTTGCTAATCTCAAAGAAAATGAATTTTATTTAAAAATCTTCGACAGGATAAATTCATTAATATGTAGACACTGAGGGGTAATACGGATATATATGGGGTCCTTGAAATATGCATAGTGGGCTTGGCTTACGCCTCGCCCAATATGTATTTTTTCAAGGACCTCATATATGTCTGTATTACCCCTCTAAGTGTCTACATAAATAATATTGAGTCCTCTACCAAAATTTTGAAATTTTCATGGCCCCAAGGTCAGGGGTTCTAGTGCTAAGGCGGGGGCTAAATAGATTATATAGTGAAAATGCATTATTTATTTGAAGTTTTGTAGCTTCTGGGCATTATATAAACTAACCAAGCTAGTGCATATTTATGTTGAACAAGACTGCCTCTTCCAAAATTGTGAATTTCATGGCCCCAGGGTCAGGAGTTCTAGGGACGGGGCTCAATATATATTATAAAGTGAAAAAGAATTGTTTCTTTTAAAATCTTCTTTTCTGCTCCTGGGTATTAAATGAATTAAATAAGTACATAGTTATGTTAAATAAGGCTACCTCTTCCAAAATTTTGAATTTCATGGCCCCAGGGTCTGAGGTTCTAGGGCTCTATTGATTTATAATGTAGTGAAAATACATTAATTCATCTAAAATTTTGTTCTCTGCTCCCAGGTAATAAATAAACTAACCAAGTACATAGTTTGATGGGCAAGAATGTCTCTTCCAAAATTTTGAATTTCATGGCCCCTTGGTCGAGAGTTCTAGGGTTAGGGCGGGGTTCTATTGATAATATACTGTATACTGGGTTATTTTCACCCCGTGTTATTTTCGCCCTTTTGCACTTCCAAATAATTTTGCCCCGTTTTGAATTCGCCCAGTCATAGTTCTGTTAAACAAATTATGCTGTATTATTTTAATTTGCCCCGTTTTAAATTTGCCCAATCAAGAAGAGGACGAAAGGGGCGAAAATAAAACGGGGGCGAAAATTTCCATGTATACAATAGTGAAAATACATTAATACATTAATTCTTTACAAATCTTCTTTTTTTGCTCCTGGGTATTAGATAAACTAATCAAGTACATAGTTATTATGCCCCCCTTCGAAGAAGGGAGGGCATATTGCTTTGCTGCTGTCTGTCGGTCCACTTAGTTTCCATTCATTTTCCCATAACCGTTGCACATTCTGAAATGAAATTTGGTATACAGATATGTCAGTTGAACATCTAGGCTAAGTTCTGTTTTGGATGCCCCTTGTACTTAGAAAAATTCCAATTATTTGCAGTTTCGGTTCATTTTCTTTGCTACCATTGCACATACTGAAATGAACTTTTGTATACAAATATATTAGATGAATATCTAGGTCAAGTTCTGTTTTGGGTACAATCGAACCATTTTTGACAGAGTTACTTCCCTTGGACTGAGAAAAATTCCAATTATTTGCAGTTTCCATTTCATTTTCTTTGCAAAGGTTGCTCATACTGAAATGAAATTAAGTATACAGATTTATCAGATGAATATCTAGGCCAAGTTGTGTTTTGGGTACAAAAGCACCATTTTTGACAGAGTTATTCCCTTGTAATTAGAAAAATTCCAATTATTTGCAGTTTCCTTTCATTTTCTTTGCAGAGGTTGCTCATACTGAAATGAAATTTACTATACAGGTTTGTCAGATGAATATCTAGGCCAAGTTCTGTTTTGGGTACAATCGCACCATTTTTGACAGAGTTACTTCCCTTGGACATAGAAAAATTCCAATTATATGCAGTTTCCGTTCATTTTCTTTGCAGAGGTTGCACATACTAGAATGAAATTTAGTATACAGATATATCAGATAAATATCTAGGTCAAGTTCTGTTTTGGGTACGATTGCACCAGTTTTGACAGAGTTATGCCCCTTGGACTTAGAAAAATTCCAATGTGTGTGTGTTTGGGGGGGGGGAGGGGGGCATAATTGTTTTACAAACATCTCTTGTTCTAATTTGTTTCCTGATCCTGCGGTTGGTTTATTCCATAAATGGACTAGTCCAATAATAATAATCAATGCAGTTCAAGTCATCATATCCAGATGCATGATCTATTAGATGTCTCTGATCAGATGCACACAGAAAATATGAAAGGCTAAATACTTAATTTACTTATTTCATTCTCATTATGATAGTGTCACTATAGGTCTAAGGGGAAAAGAGTTAAGAAAAAAATGATGAACACACAGCACATAACTTCTGTTTACTTCAGAGGAGGAAATACACTCCAACAAAATGTGTATTTAATTATATCCATCTTTTAAAATTTTTACAATGCATGATTTGATAACAAATTTTATAATACCCGGTAGGTGTTACAATATAGCTTAAAATCAATTTAGATCCAAGATCACTCCACTTGTAGACCCCTAAAGTTAGGATATGTTTTAAAATGGGGATGGCAATCAAATACAGAATTGCCAATCGGTTAACCGCAAGACGTTCCTACCGATTAATCAGTTAATCATATCAAAAATTCTCTTAATTTTAAGCTCTCCTAAGATAAACAAGGCCAAGAGGATGTTACATGCAGAAATACTATGTTCATATTTTATCAGTTTATATTTTATTTCAATTTAAAGAAACAAAGAAAAATAAAAGAAATCAAAACAGGACATGTGCAAGTCTCAGATACATTTAAAAAAAATCAGAAGAGATGTTACACAAGCTCATCCGTATTAACACAGTAATCAAATTGAAGTCTAAACTCTTGCTTAAGGTATGTCACTATGCGATTTTGAGTCACACTATATGAGTACTTATCCAAAATATACTTCTCAAAAAAATCCTTGAATTAACAAATTTCACAAGTGACATACCTTAACAGTAAAGTTTACACTAAGGCCAGCCTTTTTTTATTTTTAGGTTTACGAACATCAGAATGAAAAAGTCCCGTAGGAGGAGGAAATAAAAAAAAAATAAAATTATATTTTGGATACATTATCGACTTTTCTACATTAATTTTTGCTTCTTTTTTAATGCTCTCCTAACAGGCTTCTTGCCACTGGACACATAAGGGTTACAAAGGGGAAAATACAACCTTTAATTGTTTATTTCATCATCTACCAGTTGGGCGCAGTGATATAAATCTTTTGATATTGGACAAAATACAGATTTAAAAAAAAAAAATCAATTATTTAAATCTCTTTTTATATATCTTCATTTTTGTTTTCAATGTGTGTTAGGTAGAAATTCATTCTAAAATATTAATATACTCGAGAGCTATAAAAGTAATAATTCCTTTCATAAAACAGACAGGGAGTATTCCCAATGAGTATTGAGGAGTAGGGTGGAATTTTTTTCAATTAAGTGTAAAATAAATTTTCTGGCTGCCATAAACGATACTACATGCCTGTATATATTTGTATATTCTTGTTTTTAAATAGTTGAAATATTTTATTCCTTTAGGCTATTGTTTATTTCTTCCTCAAATGGACTTAACTTCTCCCATAGTTTTATTCATTACATCTGATGCATAAGCGACCCTTTTCTGAAGAATGATGCTAAGACTGTAAGTTATGACAGAAACCTAAACAATGTCTCTGACAATAGCTACCATGGGCAGTTTTAAACCTGTGGGAGGAAAATAATTTACAATTAAAGACAGTTACTTTTGAATACGGATACATAATTATCTCACCAACATGTCACTTTGCAACAAAGTCGTCAGCATTTTATTGTTCTCTGAACGGGTTAAATGTTTTAAATGGCACTCCTATCGATAAATATTTACATTAAACCAAGCTTTAGTGCTGCTATGGATTTGACACAAATCTCCCTTCATTACCCGCCATGTTTTTTAAAACCGGAAGTACGAGTTCGTAAATTTGAAATCTCGATCCCGACTCAAATTTGACATCTGAAAGAAAAAAATCTGTTTTTCTCAATTTTATTTTTTTTCTGAAAATTCAAAAACCCGAGCGGCGGGTTTGTAAACCTAAAAATAAAAAAATGCTGGCCTAAAAAGAGAGAATGAACTTGTTTGAACAATCCGGGATTGGGTTTAGTTCACAATCATCTTGGTGAAGTTGGTGATGTTGAAGAAATTTATCCCACAAAAGATTCTATTGACCTAAACTTCTTGGTAATCCATTTCACAAATTGTTGCCATTGATTGTTTTGGAATTCTGTTTCACATACTTGTCTACAGAGTTTTAATAAACAACTTTCTTTTGACATTGACCGATGACTTGTTAAAAAAAAGTTTTTGTGTCATTATAAATGCCGGTTCATTATCTGTTCATAAACAAGCCTTAATGAATCTGTTCACTTTTCAAGCAAACACTATATTAAGTGAGCTTTGCATCTATCAACGACATTTCATGAATCTTCATAAACCTTATATATTCATGAGTTCCATATCTTTTATTGGTTTTTTTTTTTATTGTAGAAACTGAAGAGAAAGAGATTGAAGTATTAACCAAACTAAAAGAAACAGTTGACAAACAAAGAGAAGAATTGAGGAAGTTAAAGACAGATGCTAAACACAGAATGTCTGATTGTGAGGCTGTAAGTTTTAGTTATGTAGTTAAATGCAGGACAGACTGGACACAACCTAACACCAGAGTGAACCCGAAGCAGACCCAGGGTTCACTCGGGGTCCGTTCGGGTTCGCTTTCAGAAATTTTGGTGCGCTTCGGGATCGCATTATGCACTGATGCGTGAAACGGACCTCGCTTTAATCTCGCTGCCAGTATGCCAGGCCCCTTGTATATTCCAATACAGTAAGGGAATTGTGGAATCGATCATTGTTGTTTTGGTGGCGATCGATACATGTATACTGTACATGTATACAGTGACATTATGGAGAACATTGATAAATTTTCAAAAATTCAACTGTACATTCGAGGTAGATTTATAATTGAAATTTTTGAGAAATTCCAAGTTATTTAACAGCAGGCTATTAGGCATTTATTTTTATTTATTTATAACGTGAAAACAAAAACAGAAGAGAAAGAAAAAGGTGTTGAATTGATTTTCAATGTATCGAATGGTATACAAGTTAAACTGACTTGCCAGTGACCTTCGGATTTTTACAATAAAAAAATAGTTTTGGTGGGTGATTTAAAATATGGGTAACCGTAAACAAACATATTTTTTTAATTACGCCTAATTTTGAAAATATTACACTAACAGGTATTTATTGGCTTAGAATCATCAAACTTAGTTGATGCATCTTGGGCCCTCGGAGAATGACAAGTGATAAGTAGGTCACCATGACCTTCTTTCAGGTGTTAATTAAAAATATAACAAAAGTTTAAGAGGGAAAAAGATTTCTGACAAAGTTTGGTTATAAAATGTGCACTTAGAGGTAAATTGTATGACAATGATTTCAGCTGTATCAAATCAGGAGTTATCTTGAAAATTTTGAATTGTATCAATGTATATTCTTTTAAAGAAAAAAAATAATAAATATTATTAAAAAAAAATCTTCAACAAGCTGAACAAGACAGATTTTGTGTTGGAATAGACAGAATGTTGGATTTCACTATGTAAAAAACATGAAAATGCTAAAATGGGAATGAAAATCAAGGTAGGAATCCACAGCGAAACAATTTGCACAGGTGTCAGACTTGACAGTTTTCACTGTGCTCGCAACCAGCAGGCATAGATATATGCTTCAAATATTGTTATTTTCTGAAATACTGAGGTATTTACTACTGTATACAGGGTTATTTTTGCCCCGTATTATTTTTGCCCTTCCACACTTGCAAACAATTTAGCCCAGTTTTAAATTTGCCCTGTCAGAGCTTTTTTAAGAAATTTACTGTATTATTTGAATTCGCACCATTTTATATTCGCCCAAATGAGGGAAGAGCGAAAATAAAATGGGGGCGAAATTTTCTCTGTATACAGTATACAATTATTTTTAAAGACTATTAAAACTCATTTAGTACGAACACAGATATTGCACATTCACGCATATCGCGGAGTTTTCTTGGATCACGAGCTACTCACATGTATTTGATTCAACGAATTCCATACACACATTTTTTACATAGCTTTAACAATTAAAGTCTTTATCATTCACTATCATTTTCACAGCTTCAGAGCCAACTGGATCAGATTGTGAAGGTCAATGCTGACCTGAGGAGGAGTAACAGTATACAGAAGAAGCAGGCCCACACCTTACTGGAGGAGAAAAGTGACCTGGAGGCACAGCTGGCCGACAAGGAGCAACAGATCACCAAAATCACTCAGATGATTCAAGAACAGGAACAAATTCAAACACAGCAATCAACTGCCAAACCTCCTCACCCCTCCCTAGAAGTA